TTGACTTTGTATATTCTTTTCTCTTCTTATTGCTATCTCTGAATTGTTGCTTAGCAATTTTCTTCTGTTTATTGCTCTCTTTTGGAATAAGTTTAAGCCAGTCATCTTTTTTTTCTCTAATTCTGTTTATTGCTTAGTCTTTACTATATTTACAATTAAAATCAATCTCAACCTAGTTATTATTGCCTTTTTTGAAAACTTCTTTTATTGTTTTAATGTGATGAATTTTCTCTACAATCCACTTGACATATTTGACTCTTTCTTCTTTTGAAGTTTCTGGCAATGCATAAGCTAGCATATTTGCCTTGAAAGAGTTTTTTTTTATTACAAATTCTGTTTCTTGATAACTATTAGCTATGTTCAATTGTATTCAGAAAGATAGTTTCTGCATCATTCTTTCCTTCTTTTTCTACTTTCTGTATTCTTTTGTCAATGGTTTCAATATTTTTTATAACATTATAAAGCATGTCATTTACTGGTACTTCAGCATCTTTTTTTAGTTTTTTACCCTTTTTAATACTTGTTTTGTTGTTTTCTAGAGCAGCTTCTGTTAGTCTTGAACTTGGGTTAGAATCTTGATTAATTTTTCTTTCTATACTATCTTCTTTTTGCTGTTTCTTTTTACTAATTACAGTCTTTGTTTCTTTTACTTCTTTGGCTCTAATTATTTTTTCTATTTCTATTTTATCTTAAGTACTTTTTTCTTAACTTATATTTGATATATATTCTATAAAGCCTAGATGTTAATTTATTATTCTAAGCTTTGTTATCTATTCATCTGTGATGTCTTCTTCTAACCATCCTAGTTCTGCAAGATGAAGGGCTTCCAAAATTTGACTATAGAGCAATAAGTCATCGGATGTAATATAACCTAGATCACTTAACACAAGATCTTTTGCAATATACTCAATATTGCATAGGCTTTTTGTGGGTGTTGTTAGAACATGATCTAAAATTTTGCTGTTGATATATCTACAGTTTCTATCACTCAGCCCTCTAATATAATCTATAATATCTAATTTTTAAATCTTATTTATCGATTTACTAGATCAGGTTGTTTCTTGTTTAGATAATTCACATGCACTTATTTGTTGTAATATTATTGGTTGTTTTGTTAAATCCTAACTAAAATAGTAATTACCTAATTGAAAATGTATTTGGTTTGTTTGTTGTTGTTTGTTTATATTATATAATCATGTGCTAAGATCTTCTATTTTCTAGGCTAATAACAATTTCCTAAAATTATAAAAATTCTCTAAAGTTTTGAAATTTTGTTAAAAAAAATCAAAGAATTTTGTATTTGTTGTTCAGGAAGTTTATTTTTCTTTGTATTCTAATAAAGCAATAATGGCTTCAAATACTAAAAGCTTTTTCTAAAACTATTATAAGTGTTTGCTATACTACTTTCTGTTGTATTTTCAGTTTTGTAATTTTGATTTTTTCTAAATTAGAGATCAGTAGAAAGAGTTTTTGAGTTATTCTGTATAAATTTGTAAATTAATAAGAAAAAATATTTAATTAAAATATAATAAATAATACTAATTACTTAATTTTCTCTATAAATTACTAAAACCAACGTTTTTTAACAAACAATTCAACTTTTTATAATATTTTACTAACTAATAATTTTAAACTTTTAATTAAACTTTTTTTTTGCAACTTTCTGTTCTAAAAACAATATAAATTTATTTATATTTAATCTTTCAATATAATAAACTTTTACATTTTAATTAAATTATTTTTATTTATACTTTTTTTAATTTTTCTTAATTTATATTTAATTATACTTTTTTATTTTCAAATAAATTAAGTATACTAAACTTTTTGTATTCAACTATACAAATTTTATCAAATTCTAATTATTATATTATATACAAACTAATATTTTCTAAAAAATTAAGTTTTTTAATTTTTATTAAATTTTACTAAACAAACTTATTTTTTTCATTAAACAAAAACATTCAGCTCATTGAAATGATTATTTCAATATAAATTTTATTTTTAACAGACCAAAACTCATTAAATTATTGATATTTCTCTTCAAACTCTTATTCAAACTTCTTTCTAAAATTCTATTGATCAATTTTGGAAAATTTACTAAGTTGTCTTAGAAATTTTTTTTTTATTAATCTTGAAAATATTTAAATACCTAACATATTTTTTAAATTTTTTCAAAAAAACCTAAAAAATTTACTGAGTTTTAAAAAATTTACTAACAATTTTAAAAAACTTAATTTTCTTACTTAATATTTTTTTTTTATTTGCTTTTTTTTGTTACTTATATTATAAAATAATCTACCTATATTATAAACTATTTAAAAAGTCTTTTTCATATCTTTGTTTTAAACTATTTATAATTTTAAAATCTTTTTATTATTATTATTATTTATAATTCTAAAATAAATTCACAAACTATAATCTAATAAAATTATTTTTTAGACTGATTCAAAAACTATCCTATCTTAAAAACTCTTCTTTATTTATATTTATAATATCTAAAATGCAAATCTTAGATTTTTTAAAACTAATTCTCAAAAATTTCTATCTTGATTCAATTATTAACTTTATAACAATCAATAAACCAGCTGTAAAAAGCAATTTTAGTTTATTAATTCAAACTATAGCAATTAAAAAACCTAAATTTATTATAAACACAATTTTAAACAAAAATCTATATATTATTGAAATAGTCAAAATATTTTTCAAAATGCTTTTTAGTATAACAAAAACTAACTTATCAAATTTATTTATACTTTTTTTCATAAAATAAACTACAAATAACTCTTTAATTTGTACTATTTTATTTCTTCTTATTCAATAAAAAAATGATTTCAAATTGCTATAAACCTTGCCAAACTTTATTTATTTTTATATAACAAATACCAAATTATTAATTATTAAAAATTCTTTTATAACTTACAACTTAAATCTATTTATTTAAAAACCTTTTATATATACAAATTATATTTTAAATATTTTGAAAATCAATACTTTTATTTTACAAATTTACAATATTTTTAAATTTTATATTAACATTACTATAAATATTATTTTTTAAGAAATTATTACAAACTACTATATTTCATCTTTTCATTTAATTAAACTACTGTCATGATCCAGAATAGGATCATCAATAATTTATTAAAGACGATTACATAATTAAACAGTAGTATAGCATATATGTAGTGTAATTAGCAGATATAGGGTATTTAGCGTAATTAGTGTATATAGCAGATATAGTGCATAAAGTAGATATAGTGCATAAAGTAGATATAGCATATATAGTGTATAGAGCGTAAATAGTGCATTTAGCAGATAGGGAAAAAGTATATAAGTAATGTGCTTAAAATATAAATAGAATAGAACAGAGAACAGATAGGACGTAATAAAGAATACCCACCTTATACTTGCCAAATCCAATGCCTCTTTCGAGTGTTGTGATGCCTTACATTACGCAAATGATCCAACAGCTATCCTATGAGAAGAAAATTCTAGGATAGTTCCGCCAAGTATTGTTACATTTGGTGGTGACTGTGAGATCATCCGACCCCCCCTCCCCTCCCTGATTCGAAAAAAATAAAGGAAAAGTTAGATTAGAAGGAAAGATATAAGAAACAAAGGAAAGAAACAGTAAAAAGAAACTCACCAACATATCATGTAAATAAAAACCAACGTACCGGCAAGAAAGTATCACCTCTTGAAATAACGTACTGACACCTCACTGACGCACTGTGTGAAGGAAGAAGCCAACGTACCAGCAAAAAAGGATCACCTCTTGAAACGACGTACTGACACCGATGCATCGTGTGAAGGACGAAAGCCAACGTACTGGCAATAAAGAATTGAATCGCCAAATCAAGACCTCACCAACATACTGTGTGAAGGAAGAAAGTAAATCAAATTAGGAAAAGACAAGTATTAAAGAACAAGAAAGAAAAGAAAGGAAAAACTTACCAGAAGAAAAACTGGCCAACATATTAGCAAGAAGGAATATACCCATTGTAGACGTACTCACCAGAAATTGAAAAAAATAGAAGGGAAAGAAAATTTTCTATTAGTAAATTGATAAAAGACAACAAAAAAAAAAAGAAGTAATACTTTACCTGAAATCCAAAGAAAAGAATTCAGCCCAGGTTCTGGTGTCCTGGCAAACCAAGAAAAAGATAAGTGTTAGTATAAAAAAAAAAAAAACATCAGACACCATAAGAAAGTTAATATACTGACTTAGTAATACTAGGATAACTTAAAAAAAAAAAAAAAAAAAACTGTTAGTATAAAGAAATTGCAATAGAACCATCAAATAGAAAGAGTAAATAAAAAGTAGATACTTCCCGATTGGATTAGTCCAGTGTCTAACACCCAATGAAAGAATCAATATACCAACCTAGTTGTACGTACCTACCTATTATACAATAAAAAGTGCAATACCAGAATAACTTGAAAGTATAAGGAAAAGTTTTACTGTAATTGGAAGGACCAACAAATAAACTTGGAGCCTAAAAGTTAAAAAAAAAAAAAATTAGATATAATAAAGTTAAGGATCGGAAAAATAACTCACAGTTAATAGTTTAAAGCAAACACATAATAAATATCATCATAGTAATAGCAATTACAATCACTGGAACACATATAAAATAAAAGAATAAAAAAAAAAAAAAAAAATATACGAAATATACCAACCGCAAAACTGGCAACAATATGAAACCTGAATGAAAGCGACCCAATGACAGCAAGCCCAAAAGAACTGCAGAAATTATGAACTGGCACCAAAGTCTCTTCGAAAGAAGTCCCGATGCCCCTATTGCTGTATAAGAGGACACATCATGTTCATGTGCCCAGCAGTCAGAAGGTTGGATTTAGAATGCACTAGGCTCCTTATGACACTTACCATAGAGCAACTTCAAAAGGTCCAAAAAATGGTCAATGAAAACTTCGGATACGCTCTTGATGATGAGCAGATTCCTGGGGCTCTGAAATTTATATTAGAATTTGTTAATAGCATGCTCAAAGAAGAAAGTAAACTGGACGAGAGGAATAAAGATAGTCTGGTATCAGTAGATAGTCCTTGCATCAGCATCCCGATGGTCCCCTCAAACCTTGAAAGTAATAAATTGGAACCAAAAGAAGAGGTTAAAAATAAAAAGTCCAATGTAAAAGCTTTGCTAGAGGAAGTACTCACAGATTATGACACCTTGTCCTGGAAAGTAAATCAGGAAAAAGAAATAAAACCATATACGAGTGCTGCTTTGGAACCTGAAGATCTAGTCTTGGATTTGACTGAGAATTATTCTTGTGAAATAGCTGCTGAAAAACTTGAAAAAAATGAACAAATTGGCATCGAAAAAGATAAACATAAAGCTTTCATCTATTATCAAAAACCTGTGAATATGGGACATGCCAAAGGAATGTATAATGTTGGTCACTGTGATGAAAATGGTATTAAAACAGAAAAAGATGAAATGGAGGCATTCACTTATCATCAAAAGTTTGTGGATATGGGAGACCCTAATGGAACGTTTAATGCTTATTGTTATGAAAATGAAATTGAAGGTGAAAAGGGTGGATATAAAGCACCTATTGGTTACAAGAAACCAGCAGAAATGAAAGGTGCTGATGGAACGAAAATAACAGGCCATTATTATGAAATGGAAACTGGAGTCAAAACAGCTGAATGCAAGAAAATTAGAGCGAAAGAAGATGGACGCATGGCATTCGAATATCACCAGCAAGCTGCAGACAAGAAACATGCTGAAGGAGTGTCTAGTGTTGATTATTATTACGAAAAAGAAATTGGATTTAAAAAAGCCATCGAATTAGGAGATGTTAACAGAATATATAATGTTGGCTGTTGTTACGAAAATGGTATTGGGATTGAAAAAGACAAACAAAATGGAATCGATAAGGACGAACACATTGGAGTTAAAAAGGATGAACAACTTGGAATCAAAAAAGATGAACATATCAGAATAGAAAAAGTCGAGAGCTACCTTGTGGATAGTGTTCTAGTTGAAGGATTAGAAGGTTATTCGAATTCTGATGATAATGTTGACACAGCACTCAAAAAGATACATAGGAGGAACAGCAAGCCCAAGATTGTTATCGATTGTGAAAGTCTTCATGAAGCTTGTAAGAAATGGAAAGAAAAGGTAGATAAGTTTAAAGCATAGATAAACAAAACAAAAAGGACAGCAAAGTGCAGCAAAACTTACCTGGAGTCACGTGATCAAAGACCTAGAGGTGAAAAAAATGGAATTGTCAAGGTTACTGTGTACAACACTAAACTAACACAAGTATTCCCGCTAAACCCTGGAATAGTAAACTCGGTTTTGAATGATGGACCTAAGGGAAAAAAGAAGCAGAGGTTAGAGATCAGCAAGGGACGCACCAACAAAACGAAAGGTATCATCCGATACTTATTGATATGCTGATTAGCCTTCAAGATATTCGACTCTGGTGGAAAATTCCTAATAAGAAAATAATTAGCAATCAGTAAATCAAAAAAAAAATATAAAAAAAAAAAAAAAAAAATTTAAAGTCATAAGTACTCTTAGTAAAATAATTAGCGACCTACTATTAGCCACCCTGCAAGTTATAAATGTCATGTCCTCGCCATACCAACCTGCCAAAAATCTGCGAAACTTGATCTAATTCATGAAACAAATATATTAAAGTGTGGTGAAATGTCACGATCCAGAATAGGATCATTAATAATTTATTAAAGATGATTACATAATTAAACAGTAGTATAGCATATATGTAGTGTAATTAGCAGATATAGGGTATTTAGCATAATTAGCATATATAGCAGATATAGTGCATAAAGTAGATATAGTGCATAAAGTAGATATAGCATATATAGTGTATAGAGCATAAATAGTGTATTTAGCAGATAGGGAAAAAGTATATAAGTAATGCGCTTAAAATGTAAATAGAATAGAATAGAGAACAGATAAGATGTAATAAAGAATACTCACCTTACACTCGCCAAATCCAACGCTTCTTTCAAGTGTTGTGACACTCTACATTACACAAACGATCCAACAGCTATCCTATGAGAAGAGAATTCAAGAGTAGTTTCATCAAGTATCATTACACTACAATTCAATATCTGGTTTTAAAATTTTTTTATATACTACAAAAACAATTTAGTAATATCAATAAACAAAAAGTTTATAATTATATCAAATACCAAATAACAACAGCAACTAATAATAAATACAAGAAGCTAATTCTTAAAAACCTAAGCTACAAACTATTTAATTTATTCATAACCAAACAAACTATATTACTAAAACAGCAATACATTATGTATACATTGTACCAACTTGGAAAAATGTAAAATTCTTAATTTAAAAACAACTTATAATATTTACAATCTAACTTCTTACTACTTTAAATAATCTTTTAATACTATACCTATTTAACAATATATATATACTTTTAAATCTTTTTATATTCACCTTAGTAACATTTTATATATTTTTATCTTTTAAAGATCTTTATAAACTAGCTAACCAATCTGAATAAAATTTTATCCAACTAAACAACATACTTACTAATTCAAAATGTATATCTTATTTCTTTTATTGCTATTTTAAAGCTTACTTTAAATCTGTAGCAACAAACAACAAAATTATTAATCTTAATTTCAAAGAAGCACTAAATAAAATCTTCTTTTAAATAAGTAATCTACAAATCTTAGCCAAAATCATTGTCTACTATAATATTATCCAAATCTTTAAACTAATTATTACTCAGTTAAAAAAAATCTTAACAAGTTATACTTGATTAAACAAACTAATATATTATCAAAAAACTTAATATTGTTATATCTACAATGTCTGAAACTAACTTTATTTATATCTTTAATGTATCTAAAATCATTAATAAACTTAATAATAGCTTTTTCTTCTAGCTATATTCATATATTTTTATTAACTTCTTCTTATCTATTTACTTATTTAATTTATATTATTTGCTTTAGTTATATTCTTATAAGTTTGTTAACTTTTTTTATCTACTTGCTTATTCAATTAACACTATATGTTATTTTTTTAATTATACTTTACTTTTTATTTAATTTATCTTACTTTTTTTTTTTTTATAATAATATAATTAACTTTTGATAATATAAATAGTTAGTAAAATTTATAAGTAGCTTTCTAGTATATACTAAAGTAATGAATATTATTTAGAAAAATTTAACTAATTTAGATAACTCTTAGCCACTTTAGTAGATTTAAACTATAAATAAATATATTTAAGCTTTTATTCTTGCATGCAGCATTTTTATTACTTAGAGTTATAGTTTTATAATTAGCAGTTTAATGATTAGTCCTAATTGCAAGTATTAGTCTTAGCTATAGCATATATAAAACTTCTTTTTGTATTCAGTAACTCTATATAGTTATTACTTAATGACTATAAATAAAAATAGAAGCAAAACTTTATCTTAATATCCAAAAAATATATATATAATAAATTTATTTTTAAATCTTAATATTATAATATATAAAATTCCAAAAGTATAATTTAAAATAACAGTTATTAGATTTAATATTATTAATGAGCTTTTTAATTTATTTTATAAAATATAATATATTAGAAGTAATAATATAATATATATATATATAATATATCTTATGATATATAATATTAAGCTAAAAATTACAATTGTAAACTTTTGAATCTAAGAAATTTATCAATTTTATTAAACAATAAATTATTAAACATAATTAGGCAGTACATGACTGAAGTAGGAATTCCCGAAAAGAGACCCAATCATGGAGTGCAGGCACTATGTGTAACAAGCGGTTGTTACAGAAGGTTACGGTTATGGAAAGATT